CGCCTGCGCCCCCTACCTTGCCTGCATTGTTTGTGACCTGCATGCGCTACCCTGCCCCCTGGCATTGGCCTGCCTCAACACGCTTGCTCTGCGTCCTTGCAGGCTTCGTGGAGGTTCACAACCTGATGGCAAATCGCCTCGACCCGCAGTACGGCCACCAACCAGCCACCAATACTTGGTTACAGCTTAATGACGAGATGTTGCAGGAGGCTGCACACAATGTGGGCGTCTGGCGGTCATACGTGGCAGAGTTTGTGCGATGTGCCCAGCTGCTGGACACCAGCGACCCCTTTGGCGATTGCTTCATTTGTGCCAGTACGTTCCGCGCCGCGCTGAACGACGGTGAGCAAACAGCGACAGCAATAACAGCATGGGCCCACCACTTCCACTCTTTACAAGCTTGCACCAACTAGATGGCAGGGCATCCCTGCCTTTGCATTCTTGAGATTACATTCTTGCTGCCCAAAGCCACCCCCTTGCCCACATCCCACCCCACTCCCTGCTTCAGGAACCCTTATTGGGCTGTACCGCCTGGCCGTGATGCTTGATGCCTGCCTTAAGCCCTGCCACTTTGCGATGGCCGGCCGCTCGCAGCCACATTGCCCCAGTATTTACACTTTTCTGGCTGCTGTGGCAAGGGGCGTGATCAGCGACTTCGAGTCGGGCAAGCTGAACAGCGAGGCGCAGCAACGCTGGGCCGAGCATTGCGCCGCCAGCGAGGCGAGTGGCGCCTGCAGCAGCAATCTAACATGCAGCCGCCCCTCTGCTAGCGCGCGCGGCGTGGTTGATGTGTCTGGTTTAGCGGGCGTGTTCTGCAACCATTGCGTGGCTGGGCGCGATGCCATGCTGGCAATGCGCACTCCCGAGCAGTGGGAGTACCACATCCGCACTTTCACCAGCGTGTTGCTGCGCCGGCCAGACATCGCGGACGCCTACATCGACATCGGCTGCCGCCTGAAAACGAGCCTGCTAGCGGCGCTGCAGCGCCATGTGGACGCTGGTGACCTGGCACCTGGGGTTTTGGAGAAGGTGAGAAGGCATGGGCGGACCTCTGGCATTCTGGTGGCCACATTCATGCCTAAGGCCGATGCCTCGTGCCCCACGCAGCTGAATGTGATGGTGCCGTGGATGCATGCATTTGACCATGACGTGCCCTGCCAGCTGCAGTTCAGCGGCTTGTACCAGGTATGAAGCCTTCCCTGCAATCAAGCCCTGCCGGCACCTTCCTCCCACGCACAACTGACCCTCACCACATTGCCCATGCTATCTCCCTGCTGCTTGCAGGAAGGCGTGGGTCGCCGTGTTGGAGAGCAGTCTGAGCAAGTTTGGTCGCGTGTGAAGCCTTTCTCTCGTCGCGCGCTACATGGCGCCCCCCCGCTGGTGGGATGGCTACAACTCGTTGTTCGCACTGCTGGGGCAGCTGGTGCAGCGTGACCTGCCGCAGCTGCTGGAAAAGAAGCTGAAGAACATTGGCAACACCATTAGTGCGTTGCGCTGCGTTGTTTGCCTCTCCTGCATTTTGTTCCCTTGTTGTGGCACCAGAAAGCCCCGCCTGTGATGGCTTCCACACACAGGCCGGTGCTGCCTGCGCCCTGCCTGCGCCCTGCCTGCAGGTCAGCACGAGAAGGGGATTGAGGACTTGAGGGTCGAGGCCTCCGCTGCTGGTGTGGCTGATTTGGAGGCAGCGCTGGCTTCTCTTCAACCCATCGGGCCGGCATCGACTGTTGGCATCAGCACAAAGGTGCGCTTGGTAGGTGATTCATATGATGCTGGCGCTGCTGATGTGGCAAAGCCATGCCACCGTCCATCGTCTACAGTGTGCTCCGTTCCGTGCCTGCCACAGGTGCGCTATGTTGAGGCGCTGATGAGGTGGAACGCGCACCAGGAGATGCGCAAGCAGAAGATGGGCTTGAGCATGGTCCTGCAGGGCCCGATGGCTGTGCATGTACATGCCAAGGCCAGCGACAACAAGAAGGAGGAGCAGTTGCGCAAGGCGGTCGTTGCATGCGAGATGGAGCTTCAGATTGATCCAGGCAAGCTTGCTGGGCCGTGTGTTGTTGGATGGGCCCTGTGTTGTTGGCTGTGTGTCTGTTTTGTGCTATTGCGAATGTGCTCAGGAT